CTTTAGGTCAGAGAGATGGCTCAGTGGGTAAAGGCGCTTGCACCAAGCCTGATGACAGGAGTTCAATCCCCATGGTGGAAGGAGAGAAGTGACTACTGTAATTTATCTTCTGACTTTCACATGCATGCTGTGGATGGGGTGTGTACATTCCTGCACAAACACACACACACACACACACACACACACACACACGTCAATAAATGTTTTATTTTCTAAAAGCCTTAAAGAGTTCTGAGACCACCCTGGGCTACATAGTGAGACGGGGGGAGGGGGGTACTGAACAAACAAAAAAATTTTATTAATACCCCCTCCCACCCTTCTCCTTATTCTCCTTATTTGGTGACAGTCTACACAGATTAGAAATTCCTCCTTTTGGTGCCATTATTCAATCTACTATACCTATTTACCAAGCTTCTCCATTTGGCTCCTATAATATTGGCCCCTGCTACATGGGAAGTTTTCATCTTCAAGGGGAGGGATGAGTTTTCATGTCATTTGACTTCCTCAGGCCACATAACCAGCAATCAAAGGAAGAGTTAATGTCCTGGCTGCATGGCCTGCTCCCTACAAGGGGAAGCTGAGGGGCTACACATCAGGGCAAGGCAGGCTACATCTGGAATCCAGGGGATGCACTAAGGCCCCTCTGACGGTCAGCCCTCTGTCTTCTGTATCTGTGTGTTCTGCATCCATAATTCCAACCAACTGTGGAGACAGATGACGAGTAGATAGATAGGATGATAAATAGATGACTGATAAATAGACGGTAGGTATGTAGGTGGTTGTCTACAGATACACAGAGTAGACGGTGTCAGAGATAGATGATAGATAGATAGATAGATAGATAGATAGATGATAGATAGATAGATAGATAGATAGATGGATAGATAGATAGATAGATGACAAGTAGCTAGATATTGCATTTATACTGGCTATGTACAGGATTTTCTCTCATCACTCCATGAACAACACGGTATAGCAACTATTTCATATAACATTTACACTGTATTTGGGGATTATAGGGTAGAGGTGATTTAAAGCATGCAGGAGGATGTGTGTAAGTCATGCTATACTCTTTTATAATGAAAATTGAATTTCCACAGTTTTAGTCTCTAGAGTAGATCCTGCAGCCAACCCATCATGATTACTGTACTTCCATAGATAACACTAAAAGTTAACGAAAAGCTATGACACCCAAGCCATGCAGGACCGCTAAGGATTCAGACCCTTCAGAGATAATTTAGGTCACTTTATCTCATAGAGAACCCTAACCAGGTGCTGGAGATGATGGCTCAGTGGTTAAGAGCACTGATTGCCCTTGCAGAGGACCTGGTTCCCAGCACGCACATGATGGTTCACAACCATCTGCAACTCCGGTTCCAGAGAATCCAGTGCCCTCTTCTGGCCCCTGTGGGCTCCAGACATGTGTGTGGTACATAGGTGCACACAGAGGCAATACAGGAAATAAAAATAAAATAAAAAAAAAAACCATCAACCCCTAACCAACAGAGAGATTGGCAAAGGAAAAAAAGGAGGGGGAGCAGGTAAAGATTAATAAATTATACGCCAGCTATGGCATAGTTTGCATAAAGAAACGTGTCTCTATGAAAGATCAGTTACCACCAAAAAAGAAAAAAGTCTATAATAGCTATTCATGTTTTCTTCTTTGCTTGGGATGTTGTGGCATTAATTTTTTTTTGTTTTATTTTTCAATAGCATTAATTTATTCCTGCCCCCCCCTCCCTATTCCATGAACTAAAGTTCCCTTTAAAAGCCACATCTGTGTTGAAGACTCTGCAGACTGACTGACTAGAACCCTGATTGTGGAGTTTGGAATGCTGCAGACCAAGAGCCACAATTATCTCGTACTATCTTTAGTCCGCTTAATCTAATCGCCATTTATCACTGTTACGCTTTGAATGTAAATGCCCTGCACAGGCTTGTATGTCTGAATACTTGGTCCAGAGGGTGGCGCTGTTTGGGGGCGGGGTTGTGGAACCTTTTGGACATGGAGCCTAGCTGCAGACGCACACGGCCACAGAAACAGGGCTTGAGAGTTAGAAGCTATAAGTCATAAGAACTCAGCTCCCAGCCTGAGGTCTTTGGTTACTGCTCTGACAAGATATAAAAAAAAAAACACATGCTCCGGAAGCTGTGAACTCAGCCAAGTCTTCCCTACCAGGACAGACTACACTGTGTGAAACCATACGCCATTCTTCTTTTTAAATTTTTCTCCTCTATTAAGTTGTTCTGGCAGCTGCAGTTTAAAGGATGAGAAAAATAACTAATACAGTTGCTGCCCTCTGGGCTGGGGACTAATTCCATTGGCAGAGTACTTATCGAGCATACATGAAAAGCTTAGGTACCTTATAAACTGAGTGTAGTGGTGCATCCTGGGAAGTAGTGGTACCAGGATCAGAAAAGTCAAGGTCATTCTTAGCTATGAGTTTGAGACCAGCCTGGGATACATGAAACCCTGGGGATAGAAGTGGGGAGGGGAGGGCTTGAGGAAGAAAGAAGGGGAGAGGGAGAAGGAGGGGACAGGAAGAGGGAGGAGGAGAGGCAGGGGAGAATGGAGAGGGAGTGGGAAGAGGGAGACTAAGAGAGGAAGAAGAAGGAAAAAGAAAGTTGTGTCTGTTAGGTAAAAATTTTGCAAACTGTCACCTCTAAGTAGCTTCCACCAACTCAAAAGTTAAGAATGACATCAGATCAGATCTGACACCTCTGCAAAGACGTCCCCGCGGCTTCGCTGTATCCCATCCACCTGCTGTCCCTAGGGATGGATCTGGCAAACACATTGATTTATGACTGTCTTTTGGTCTATGACTATAAAAGTTCATGTAACCGCTTCCACAATAAAGATGTCACTCAGGGCAACCTGAATTTGTATCCCTGAACCAGGGTCACTTATACTTGGCTCAGCATAAGTTCTTTTTCCCTTTGGAACAAGGGTGGTCCCTTTGTGAACAGTCTTCTAAGAGATCGTAGTGTGAGGTCCGTGTTTGGTTGCACTAGGGCTGCCACTGAGTCAGAGCAGCTAACACCAGCCCAATAAGGTTGGCTGGCTAGTTCCTGGAGATGGACGGTTTTGTTAGACTGAGGTTTGGGAGCTGGAGAGATGGCTCAGTCATTACCAGTGTACACTGCTCTTCCAAAGGACCCAAGTTCCGTGCCAGTTCCAGGGGGATCTGGAGTTTCTACCCTCCAAGGGGCATTCACATGCACACACCCACAGAGACAGGCACATACATATAGGTAAAAAATAAAACAAATATATAAAATAGTTTTTAAAAGGCTGTGGGACTTTGTGTCTTCTTTTGCAGGGAGAGAGTTAGAAGGATCTTGTTTGTGTGAAGCATAGTTTTGTCTTATTTGGTGGTGGACACTGTCATATGGCTGTCTGATACGTGTGGGTTGATGTGTACCTTTATTGACTGTTCAGGGGGGGTCTGTTGTCATCCTTAGATTCCAAGAGCTTCTGTGACACTATGACTTTAAAAAAAGGAATAGCAGGGAAAGATCAGAAGGCAGATGCAGAGACGTTTTTACTTTCTTTCCCACAAGGCTCTGTGGTCGATGTGCATGCCTAGGCAGGCCTTCCTGTATCCTTAGCAGAACTTCCTTAACGTATCTCCAAACTCCAAAACTTGTCCTCCCTCCCTCCGTCCGTCTGTCCGTCTGTCCGTGTGTGTGTGTGTGTGTGTGTGTGTGTGTGTGTGTGTGTGTGTGTGTGTGTGTCTGTGTGTTAGTGCTAGGAACTGAACCAGGACTTAGAACATGCCAAGCAAGGACTCTACCATTGGGCCACACCGCCAGTACCACGCTTGTGAGTTTCGATGGTCCCAATGGCTTCCTACATTTTTGCTGTTTCAGGAAGGGTTGCTGTGTCCAACAACTTTCTCTAGGTAACCCTGGATTTTCTGTTCCTTGCTCTGCCTGCACCACAGCTCTCCATTGTAAATCCTCCTTGTGGAATAAGTAACATTCTGGGTCTGATGTGAATTTGGAAGAAATATCCCATCTCTCAGATCACCTGGGTCACTCTGACAATTAGAGACTAGCTGGTATAGACCGGAGGAAGCCCTCTGGGTGGTAAGTATCATTTGGCAAGATCCATAAACGCCAGGGTGGTGCTTCCCGGGTGGCTTAAGTTTATTGAGACCTTTGCTTCTATGAAGAAGGGGAAGGACATGACTTTCCTACCGCTGAGCCTTTTTGGAGAATCATGATGAAATATTGACAATAACTTGGATTGTTCACTGCTTATCATGCCCCCGCCCCACGGGAATCCCGTGGCTAAGGAGCCCTAGGTATCTGGCCTAAATCTCCCTAGAAGTTGAAGTGATGCTAGCAGTGAACGCTTCCAGTGACTGGTTCCTCTCTCTTCCCAGAGCCGACCGAACAAAAGGCTGTGTGTGCTGGAGTAGCGTCGAATGCATGTTTGAGGCCAGCCTGGGCTACATACCCTGTCTGAATAAATACCTAAATACCCTGTCTGAAAAAGTAAAGGGCTGGGTGCACTGGCTGTGTCCTGATTCTAAATGTACAAACAGTCACATTCTTTTTTCCCTCATTACCAGTGCTTCTGTGTGTAAATGAACAAAATGAATTATGTAAATTATTGGAAGTCAAAGAGAAAAACCTACTATCTGCCATAAGGCTGTGATACGCTCAGAGACTCTGTCTCAAAAACAAATAAACAAAAAAATAAACAACCCCCCACAAACAAAAAGTCCCCTACCACTGTTTCTGGTTTCCTGACAGGACAAACCACCAGGAACGTAGTATTCACTTCTCACTGATCCTCACAAGTGGTCCACCTGGCTGTGAGGAGGGCCGAGCAGAGGGATTAGCAAATGTTCCAGCACCTAAATTTACCTGTCCGTGAAGTCAAATCTATTCCCCTAGATGCTTCAGTTATCCGGGACAATGTGTCTTTTCTTTTTCCTTGGGCCGTATGGAGCTGGGCCTGTTTGGTTTATAATAATTCCAGTTCTCATTTCTACCATCAAATCAGGAGCCTCAGCCCTCAGCCACCGACCACAACCAGGACCAATCACCTCCTACTGAAAACTTTAATGAAACCAATAAGTTAATAAGTTAACAAAGTGAGGTACTTGCACATCTGAGAACGGGGTTGGTGGGGGAACCTCGATCGTGGAAGGAGGGAGGGCTTCTTCTTCCCATGTCTCCTTTGGTCACAGGGTAATCTTATTCTCCAGCCCCTCTGGGCAGCTGTCTCTGAGGAGGTGGAGTGGCTCTCTGGGGTCGGCGCAGTGCGAGTGGGACGAGCCAGGATGGGCTCCATCCAGGGCATGATGGTACATGCAGATGGTAGGGCAGAGACTGGGCTGAGCACGATTCCACCCAGGCCCCGGCACTGGTACATGCAGGTCCCAGTATGAGATGCAGACAGTTGGGCCTCAGCCCCTTGTTCCCACGCACCCCCGAGAGTGTCCTCATTGGTCCACCACCTCAACTCCCTTGCCACCTGCACGGGCCTCGCATAAGAGGAACCAAAGGGGGGGGGATCCAAAGCTGGTGCTGAGGCCTGCCGTGTTTGGGCGGTTGTGCCGATATGCCGGTTGGGGTGAGCGGGGGGGGGGGGGGGGGGGATCCAAAGCTGGTGCTGAGGCCTGCCGTGTTTGGGCGGTTGTGCCGATATGCCGGTTGGGGTGAGCCGGTGGGGCAGAGGCCGGTGAAGGTGAGAGCCAGCTGCACTTGGTATAGCACTGGACAGTGTGTTCTCTCTGGGACTAGGAAGAGGGCGTGCGTGCCTGGGTTCTCTCCAGTGGTGTGCAAGGTCTGGAGGCCCAGGCCTGGGTTATGCTGTGAGGATGCCAACGCAGTCCTCAGGGCAGCCAGAGGACTCCTGTCCGGGAGCAAGAAAAACTCTGAGGCTGGGTCTGGGGAGACCTCTGGATGCTCCCTTTCCTGCCCAGGAGACCAAGTGGCTTTGTGCTCACGCCTCCAGGTGTGTGTGGTCGTGTGTGTCACTGTGTGAGGCGTTCTCATGGAGAAATAAAAGGGCCATGCTTGTGTTCCTGGGGGTGGGCCACTGACTAGTAGGTTTGGGGAAAATACAAGAATTTGTGCTGTCAGAACTGTCTGGAGGACCAGTAGGACATCCAGCAGCAAGAGGGAGCCCCTGGGTGACCCCTGCAAAGGAGCAGAAAGGCCCAGGCACTGTCCTTGGGAGAGGACAGGGAAGTTTAGGCCCCATGCTGGGTGGGGGTCGATGATAAGCCAAAGAATGGAGGTTGGGTATGGCCAAGCAGCCTGAGGCCAGCTACTGCTGGGGCCCATCTCCCAGTGCGGGAGAGGCAGAGGAACCCCATGGGGGTCCCCAAAGTTGCATATTTAACATAGTTTGCATATATGGTGCCCATCTACCTTATGGCAGAGTCCTGTGCTTTGTGGGCACCTGTGGGGGCACCTTGGGCCCATCCCCGAGTGGGGCAGGGCTTGGCAGGAGGACTTCCCTGCTCTGCCTGGAAGGGCGGGCCTGGAGACCTCACCTTGCATAGCTAGAAGCTGGTTCAGGGACCAGGGCCCCAGCGCCCTGCTCTCATTCCCGGGACAGAGCCCCGGCCAGGCGGGTCATATTGGACCTTAATGGAGCCGGCAGGGTCCGGGAGTGTCCAGAGGCCTCCGGGCAGCCACTGCTGCGGCCCACCACGTGGCCTGGCATTTCGTGCTCCTGGGGCGCTGGTACCTGGCATCGGGTGTCTCGCCCACCCAGACAGCTCAATACTGTGTATGGCCTCTCTCCCTGCCAGGGAGCGAGTTCAAGTATGAGGGGTGAGGCCGCGGGGTGAGTCCGAGGGGCAGACCGAAGGCTGCCCAGCCCCTGAGAAGCCCTTCAGTCCATGTTGGTGCTGACTGAGCGAGAGATGCTGAGGGTCTGTGCCGAGACGGAGATGTCCTCGTGGTCTACAGGGCTGTGGTAGTCCGAGGTGATGTCCGGGTCAAAGAGCGGCACTTGCACGGTCCCCAGGCTGGCCGAGGTGCCAGAGCGTAGGCAGCGGGAGTAGAAGCCCAGCAGCAGATCCAGCTTGTGCTCGATGGACTGCACCTGGCGGGGGGATGAGGAGCGAGGCTAGAGAGGGTGTTGGACCCGAGGGCGGGGCGCCGCTGGGGAAGGGATGGGCCTGGACGGGGCGGGGCCGGAGCTCGGGGGCGGAGCGTATATAGGAGGCGGGGCTTGGAAACGATTAGGACGCCAGGTAGGAGGCGTGGTTAGGACCGGCTTTCGCCTTGGGGATCCTTCAGGAATGGGGGTGAGTGGGCTTTCTTGGAGCCGGGCTTGTTTGTGGGAGGGAGCTTGGCGGAGCAGAACTCAGCATGTGGGCCCCGCTAGGGCCCCCAGGGGCCAAGGCTCGGCACTGCAGCATTGCTGTGCAGCACTTTCAGCCATCGGGTGGAAGTCCTTCCTACACTCACCTGCTTTTCCACCTTGACTACGCGCCCCATCATGCTGATTTCATCCACTGCCTCCGTGTCCGAAGGCCCCTTATCGCCCTTCTCCCTAGTCTTGCGGTCCCCGGGCCCTCGACCCACAATTTGGTCCACCCTGTGGAGGGAAAAAATAAACTATCCAAGAGACTGAGTCGCACTGTGCCTCCCTTCCAGAACCCTTGGTTGACCGCAGACAGGGAAGACAGACTGAAGTTCTGGTGGGAAGAGGCCACTTCCCTGCCCAAGGGAGGCTGAGCCTGGGAGACACCAGTCCCTTGCTTTGAGAATTCTCCAAATAACAAGCGGAGCCTCCGAGGTGAGAAATGACGGGCTGGGAAAGGGGATGTTGGAAGGTGGACAAGGCCGGAGCGGATCCCAGCCTCTTCCAGGCTCGCTAGTTCACAGCAATGCAAGTGTTATCTTGACCCTCTGCCCGCAGCCCTGCTTCCTTTCCCTCCGAAGCCAATCTAGTCAGACTTCCCCTCCCCCAAGTGAACTCCATGTTGCTAAATCCAGTGATCAACTCAGTCCTTATTTACTCGACCCAACAGCAGCAGAGGTCACATCTGATCACTCTTTCTTCCCACAATCCTTTATTTGTTCTTTTCTCCCCCCTTTTAGACAGGGTCTCTTGTGACCCAGGCTGGCTTTGACCTCTCTAAATAGCCAAGGCTGGACCACTGATCCTCCTGCCTCTAGCACCCCTCCCTCCTAATACTGCTGTTGTTGTTGAGACTGGGCCCCCCCTATGTTGCCCTGGCTGACCTGGAACTCCCTCTGTAGACCAGGCAGGCCTCAGACTTACAGAGATCCACCTGCTTCTGCCTCTCCAGTGCTGGGATGAAAGATGGGCCCCACCAGGCCCCACCTCGAATGTTATTTTTTGAGTTAATAAATGAGCAGACAGTGAGAAAATAGGGCACACGAGAAAAGAAAGCTCTAGGCGATTTGGGACTTGATATAAAAGTTCTTCCTTGATTCTGGACCTAGGGGACATGCAGGATTCTCGAGGCAAGAATGGAAAGGTAACTTGCTTCACATTGCTACTTGGGAGATGGGAAGTCAGTGGTTACTGTGGGTCAGTTACTTCCAGACCTGGAGACAGGCCTCCTAAGGAAGCTGTCAAGGCATGAATATGGACTGGACTCATCTGGAGAACTACAACTGAGATTGTTTTGTTTTTCAGCTGCCAAGCAGCCTGGGAACTGCAAGCCAGGGCTCTTTTGGTTTGGATTGGATTTCTGGTTTCTTTGTTCTTTTGAAGCAGCATCTCATAGCCCAGACTAGCCTAGAACTCATGGTCTTCCCGCCTTTGTCTCCCCAGTGCTGAGATTACAGGTGTAGGACAGTGAGCCTCCTAGAGGACCTTGCCCACCTGGGCAGTGCCCTTAGAGAGCACAGACGGCTCACCTGGGCTGGAACCCTCAACTCCCTCCCACTTCCTTCTCGACGCCTGCATACCCACCGAGCTTGCAGGCTCTTGATCCGCCCCAGCATGTCCAGATGCCCTGCAGAGTATTGCTCGATGACATCCTTCACATCATATGGCCGCAGTGTCTCCTTGAATTTCCTTTTGGCTACCAGGAACTTCAGAATCCTGTTAGAGGAGGGGGAATCTCTGGCAGTTGCTCTTGTTCCAGCAGGGGACACTTTTCCAATCCCTTCTCTGCCCCTTTGTCCAGATCCAGGTCATCTGCTTGGACCACTCCAAACAACCTCTGCTGGGTCCCCAGCCTCCTTACCTAACCACCAGGCTCCCCTTTGCCCTGCACACCCACAGACTGGCTTGGTGTCTCTCATATGCCTGCCTCTACAGCCTCATTAACAGAGGAGGCGGGGAATGGACCCCTTGTCTCTCAGCTCAGTGGGACACGGAGCTTCTAGAACACCAACTGCTGCTGTCGGCTTAGGAAAGAAACATTGTATTCACTCTACACATACTTGGCAATTGCGTGCAGGGTTTTGGACACCCAAAGGGAGATTCGATCCCTGGCTACAGAAAGCCCAGGCCTAGGGTGGGAGGCTGGGAGGGTACAGGCAGTTGGGGGAGACTAGAGCCAGGTTCAAAGAATAGGAAAGGAGAGCTCGGATCCATGAGAAGGGAAGGCCTCAGCAGGCAGAGCCTTGGGTGGCGTTTTCCAGCCAGGGGCAAGAAAGCTGCTCCTGCTTTGAAGAAAGGAGCTTCCCAGAAACAGGCAGGGGAGCCTGGCACAGGACTAAGTGTGAGGAAGGGGCGGGGGCTGGGTGGAGAAGGCACCGGGCTGGGGAGGAGTCATCAGTCTGGCTCAACACGCTTGCTCTGCCAACTCCTGGAGAGAATGTGTCGGGGTGCTCCGTGGTCTAGGCACGAAGACCAGTTCTCAGGATGAGCCTGAGCTGGGAGGAGACAGATTTGAGCAACCCAGAGGTCAGACAAGAGACTTCTGAGTCCAAATCTAAGTTGACTCCTATGGCTGGAGACAGGGTAGGCAGTGGTATCATCAACTGCCTGACTTGGGGAGGTGGACAGAGGAGCAGTTTGGGGGCATTCTGGGTGTGTGTGGGGGAGGGGGTGCTGTGAGGGTGCCAAGGAGAGCTGTGCCCTCACAGTTCAGATACCGTGTCCAAGATGGTGGTCACAGAAAGGGAGAAACAGGATGTATGGAAAGAGGTGAGGACAGGCCTGACTGAGCTGGGAGGGGGACCCAGCTGGCTGATCTGAAAAGGAATTCAAGAAGAGGCTGTGGGTGGGTAGGCAGGGGCATGAGCCAGGGCACAGGTCAAGGGAGCTGAGCTTCAGTGGCCTCCGGAGCCCAGCTGCAGGCTAGGAATGGAGACCTAGCCAGGACTCCTCGCCAGGAAGCTGGGGCCAGATCCACACTGGGCAATGGCTACAGGACACAGGAGACCAGTCCCTGCTGAATCATCACAGCAGCCAATATATCATGGCTTTCAAACTGTTTGACCAAGACTTACATAAAAAACACACCTTATCCTGCAAACTAGTACGCATACACACACAGATTGAAATACAAATTTCATAAGCATTATCACCCTGAGTATGAGACATTCAGTCTCATATTTTTTTTCTTTTTATTTGATTTTTGAAGCAGGAACTCCTGCAGTCCAGGATAGCCTCAAACTGTCGATGTAGCCAAGGATGACCTTGAATTCCCAAGCCTCCTTCTTCTACCTCCCAAGTGTTAGGAACACAGAACTGTGCCACTATGCCCAGCTTCAGGATTTTTGTTTGTTTGTTTGTTTGTTTTTAAATGCTGCCATGACACACTGGCAGTATCACTGAGTTCTAAACCTGTGGCATGAAGAGTACTGCTCTTGAGGATGTCCTAGGAGCAACAGAGAGGCCAAGACACCCAGGGAGAAAGTTTGTGAAATAAAGACAGAAGGAGCTTGGGAAGAAAAACACGTGTAGAGTAGCTAGAGCCTGTCAAGGGTCTCTGTCACCGCTCTGGGGAGAGAAAGAAAGAGGCTGCCACACGGCTGGAGAAGGAGAACGGGGAAAGAGGAGCAGAGAGGCTGAGCTGGGATGACGGGGAGGACATGGTATGTGTAAGGACAGAGACTGATGGGCAGCTGTGCCACTGGCCCCCAGAGCCAGGCCCTCTGGACACGTTGTGTGTCGTGTAGGAGCAAACGGTGCTGGAAGCCATATGCTCCCTGCCCACACCTCCTGCACTCCAGGCAGGTAGCAGCTGGCACCCTGGGAGCTGTGCCAGGCCTGGCCATGAGGACAGGCCCAGATGGGGAGCAGTGACGGGTAGCAGGTGGGAGAGCTGCTCACCTTGGGCTTCAGCCTCACCTGACAGAACGGATGACCGTCTTCACAGCAGGCATGACGTCATCCACAGTGAGCTCACACTGGTAGCTCTTCTCCTCAGCCACTTCCTCCGAGGGGCCCTCTGGAAAAACAGGAATGGTACATGAGGGCCAAGGGGTAGGAGAAGAAAGCACCCCCAGTCCCCATGTCCTTTAGCAGTGCTAATAAGAGGACAGAGAGGTAGAAAGGGTCCAGAACCTTCCTGAGGCTCAAGGCAGGCCAGGTTCCTGCCTTCCTGGCTGGTGGTTCTCATCGCTCTGTGTTACATGTCCTTTTGCCTCTTCCAGTGCTGGGCAGGGCAGACATCTGCCTGGTGACAGGTGGCTGCTTTAGAGGACATATGGTCTAGCCTGGGACAAAGGTGATGCACACAGCCTTGGAGGACATATGGTCTAGCCTGGGACAAAGGTGATGCACACAGCCTTGGGGGACATATGGTCTAGCCTGGGACAAAGGTGATGCACACAGCCTTGGAGGACATGCTATGTGCTACTCCTTGCAGGGCCGGAAGCCCCAAGGAAAAGGCATTTATCTGATACTCTTTACAGAGTCTCCTCTGTATGGTCTCCTCTTCCAGTTGGGAGTGAGGTGGGTTGGGAGGGTAGGAACTCCAGCTAGTGCCCCTGCCAATATCTGCTACAAGAAAGGCCCTTAAAGCGAGGATGGGAAAACAGCTTCTCAGAGGCTGGTACCCTGTGCTCCAGGAGGGTGTACTTCGCTCACCACACAGGAGGAAGGTGACCCCAGGCAACTTCCATGGGTCAGGGCCTCCCAAAGAACCACTGGTTTGTGGTGTTAAGTAACTTTCCAGGAAAAGGCTGAGTCCTCCGTCCTCAGCATCTTGGCACAGCACAGGCAGA